AGCTTTACGATCGAACATCATTACTGGTTTTCGTAATAAATAGTCGATGATTGCGTATTCCAGGGACGTTGGTGTGCCTGCCCACCATGGGTCGTCGCGTAAAGTGTACTCTGATTAATCGGTCACCTCCAGCTTAATTCCGATTGACTTATAACTGGATCGTTAGTAATATGTACAGCGCTGAATATCACCGAATGATTTAGCGTTTCGATGCTAAAAACGATGCCCGAAACGATTTAATAAGCACGGAATTGGAAACAGTTGGGAAGGAATAGCGTCAGCCATTACCAAAGGTAAAGCCGTAAAAAGCGAGAACGTTGATGAAGACAAACGACACTACGCGGTTAATTATATTCAACATGGTAGTACAGTAAAATAATTAAAATTAATGTACTCGGTGAAATTAATAGAGTATATGTATTCGAGCTTTCCGCGCTTACTCGATACATAGAGCGTTGCTTTATTTTTCTCGCCAGACGTTCTCGCATGGACATAATTAGACAAAAACTTTACGTTTATTGATCAAGTGTCATCCAATCAAAGGTAACATTCACGTAAAGCCAAATATTTCTGCTCGCGATAATAGCTGATGTCGATATACTCCCCCCCTTGCCGCCACTATCACTTTCCCTTGGTAGAAATGCTTCGTTCCTATATTCTAAGGTCCATGGAGCCGTCTTGAAGCAGGTTTTCTCCCCTCCAATGCGCTCTTTACATCGGTTTCCTTCTTGCTATGTCATCCCTGTCCTCTTTCTGTTACCTATGCTCTACCCTTCTTACTGGACCCTTACGTCGCGTTCTTTGCCGTCGCTCGCCAATTTCGTCGGTCTAGATTTTTAAAACTGACCACGGCGCGCAGCGCAGAGATTCTCGATGTTGCGAGTACGTATTTGGATGTTTTCCCTCGAGTTTATTTAGAATTTTCGCATTTTCCCGCGGTAACGGTGTTACCATGCTCTTTTACACGTGGAATTCGAAGAAAAAGAGAAACCGAATAGACAGGTAGGCGGATAGAGGGAGAGGATAGGGCTTGTACGTGTGCATATGTGCCGTAGCGAACGATAGAGATGGACACGCGTTGCCTATAGCAAGAGAACGAAACGAGACCAACTGTCTTCATTATGCTAATGCCGTGCAACTACAGCTGACCGTGGCCAAAAATAGATGTAGATATCGTGGGATGCTGAGTCGAACCTCGAGGGGGTTTTTATCCTCCTCTCTCTTTGTCTCTTTTTCCCTCGTTCTCTTCATTCGACGGGCGTTACGCTTGTTTCTCGATTCGGAAGATTCCCTGGCGCAGTCCTGGAATGAAATGGTTCCGAGGGTGAAGATCGAATCGCTCGTTTCCTATTCCTACTTTACACCGTTGAAACTTTTTCTCTCCCTCCATCTCGGGCCGTCCCTTTTGGTTTTTTTTTTTGTGTGTGTGTGCAAAGGACGCGCTCATTAGCCTCACCTTTGCAAGAAACACAATGGTCCCGGAGAAACCTTTTTCTTTTCAAAAGCCGGAGACTGGTCGCGTCATAGAGTCGAGCAATGATTACTTTATAATTACAATAACTGGAATGATCACTGGTCGTAAACAACTTTTTAGTAAGCAGTCGTAAATCAGGATTATTTAAATTTAGAAATTGTTCTCGTTTATCGACTCATATAAAATCAGATAACATTGCGCTCGCAATAGACAACCGCGTTTCCGTGTACATCCAGTTTACGTGGTTTGCGGTCGCGTTGATACCGTTGTTACAAAGGAGCTACGCGGTCATGTTAACAATCTTCCTTGGGCATCTTTTCGTGAAATTGCAAGGAGGTCGCGCGATGTTACATCCTTCAGGTTTTAACGCGGTCCAAATACAAGTTACCGCGTATCACCTCGTCGTTCTTAAATGTTAAAACAAGGTAGCAAAGTCTCATGCGAAACGACTACGCGCGCTGAAAAATTGTACCCATTTTTGCTTCGAAGCGTATAAAAAACAAATTTGCTAGACTTTAACGACGTTGTCCATAGCGTTTTACGGGCTTTTCAATATTTCACGGAAGTTATACGCAATCGAGCATGCAAATAAATCTGGCCGCGCAATGGTACTTTGGACAGAGGGCCCTCTCATATTTCCGGTTGGCCAGCAGTACTCGAAGGAAAAAGAAGCGACGGACGCTAGGTTAAAAAGATGGCAGCGGACTGGTTGTAAAGACAAAAAAAAGAGAAAGAAGGAAGCGTAATGCAGCGAGTCAGCAGTTTTTGTTAAAAATTTATTCGGTTCAGTTTCAGGAGAAATATCACCTCCGTACCCCTCGGTGGTCCGTATCACACCTCAGCGACTGCTTCTATCCCACTACTCTGTCTTGCGAACCAATCCACCCTCCGTCCTCCATTCTTCTGTCTTCTTTTTCTTTGCTTTTATATATGTATACACACGTACGTATCCGACTTGCTGCGATATACACTGGGCTCGAACAGGCTATTCATTTTTCAACGCTACGAAATTGTTCGATACGCGTGCAAGCTCCTTTCTTTCACGAACGATTCGTCCAAAGGATTAAACGCAATACCGTCCTACGGAATATTATGCTAAGAACGTGAAATATGAACGGTTGATCAGATTACACTTGGTAGAAAAAAGAGTTAAATGATGAACGACGAGCACGGACTTGGCGTAGCCGTAAGATAAAACAATTTACGTACCGAAATATGCAGCCAGTTTCGGTGCAACACGTTATAAGGATTTTGGAAACGGAAAGTACATTTATGTGTAGGTAACAGTTGCGCCGCTTATCAGAGTCAGCGAGGCGAGAATGGTGCACTTCCGCTTCCGCTGTTGGTATCGAGGATTGGTATCGTGAAGAAAGAGCTTCGAACCGGGGGACCCACGATGTTTGGCAAAGTTAATCGTCCATTTTAGCCTCGTTAAGGGAATTCCGATTTTTATTTAAACGATTTTTAAGTAGTCGAGTTCACTTTGTTCTTTATTTGTCGAGAGTTGGGTAACGCACTCGCCGCCATGGTTTAACGTCTGGATTTTCAAACTATCTGATCGAGCGGAGAACAAAATTCTTAGCGTACGATCGTACGGTTCTCTTTTGCTATCGAAATCGTTAAATCAAAATACAAAATCAAAGTGTACCAAAGAACGAATCGTAACAATAGGTCGTGATAAGTTTGTACACGTACAATGTACGGTAGAGATACTCGTGCAAACGATATGCACGGTCCTTCTGTATCGGGCACCAGGATCTTTTCCCGCTGCGAACCGTAGCACACAGAAGCCATCGGCGTCGGTATAAAGAATTTTCTACGGATCTCATTCGTTGGCTCTCTTGCGCACTGTCACTTTGTCCCCTTCCCACCTATATACAGGAGGGAACGGGATTAAGCAGGTGTACAGTATGCGCCAGAAGTTCTTTCACCTTTCTTTTCCCTTCTAAAGTACGTTCGCGATACTCCATTTACATTTTCACGTGGTATCTACGCGAAATCAAGCGTGACGAGTGAAAGCGATCCGCTCCGAAGCGACGATAGAGATTGATCGGCAAACGGAAGATTCAGGCCAGCTTGAGAACGGATTAAAATACGATCCATTCGCAATGTTGGCCTTTGAATTAAAACCACAAATTTATTTTTCTTATAAAAAGTTATTGTAAAGACATTGACCGAGCAAATGTTTCTTTAGGCCACTGTACGTTTCGTAGGTGTGGGTACGATTCACGTGAATCGTATTCGCGCAAATGATATGCGGTGGTCCTACTCTATCGTATCTCCGGATCTTTCCGCGTTGTACGCCGCGGCGAATCCGAGGTCCATCGGCGTCGAATATAAAGAATTTTTCTTGGATCTTGTTCTAGCCTGTTCCTCATTCTTTTTCTTCTCGCTCCGTCTTTTCGTTTACGCGTGAACGCATGGCGAAACGAGATTAATCCGATGTATAGTACGTACACGCGCGCTGGGAAGTTCTGTTCCATGTAGAGACAGGAACCGAGAAGAAGCAAAGAAAAAGCGAGAAAGAGAGATTGACTTAACCTCTTCCACCCGCGGCGAGCGTGATAGTGGGCGATGCGCGACCAAACCTAACCTAACTCCGTTGCCGGTTCTCCAGCAGGGCAAGCAAGGCTGGGTCGCCAGGCGCCATGAGAGAAAAAGAGACAGTACTAATGAACGAGCGTGGGTGGTGGGGACTAAATCGGCGCATGCGTCCCTGTGACGCTTATCGAGCCACGGAGAGGGGCGGTTGGTGCCTCATCGTCGGCGGCGGCGGCGGCAGCGGCGGCGGCGGCGGCGGCGGCAGCGGCGGCGGTGGCGGTGACGGCGACGGCGACGTGGCATGGTATACGTTCGCACGGGCGCAGTGAGGGGCGAGACGGGCATCTCATATTATGCGGCGGAGGGGATCGTGGCTCCTCGCAGTCGGGTAAAGGTGGAAAAAGGCAGATATAGCGTAGTCGCGGAGAGAGAAGGACAGAGCATGAGAAGGTTGTGCATGTAGCGATAGTTGGTACGTACGTTTAACGGAGACAGAAGTTGGGAAAACGACAAAGATGGAAGAGGGAAGGTTGGAGCGAAAGAGAAGCGAGGAAGAGAAAGACAGACAACGAGAGTAGGTTCGAATTAGTGAGAGGGTGCATAGTTGCGCGATAGATGGTAGAAAGAGAAAAACAGGAAAGCCACGCTGTAGGTCGAAGGGAGAAGGAAGCGACATGAAATGTCGGACGGAGAGAGAGAATGAGATCGTCGAATGGCGAATTGGTGGATCGTAGGTGCAGCTAAGCGAGACAGATAGAGAGGAATATGATAGAAGGAATGAAACGGAGCGAGATAGCGCGGTATGAAGGGAGAGAGAAGGAAGTAGAAGTAAATTGGTGTGCGTGTGGCTAGGTTAAAGAGTAAAAAAGGTGGGAAAGCAGGCAGGGAACGAGAGTGCAGTATAGGTAGGGTGAAGGAGGTGAGGTGGAAGGGGCAAGGGCAGGGCAAGGGGGTGGGGGAGAGGGGGCGCTGGCATCGGACAGTCGGTGTCGCGCCAGGCCCCCGCTAGCGGCTAGCCAAGCAAGCAGCAAGCAGTCGCAATCCCGTCGCCTAACCAGCATCGCTCGCCTTACCTTTTCACCCTCTTACAAAATCGCATCGAGGCTTCCGTCAGTCGCATATATTCGCCCCGTTTCCATCTGCCGGTCCCTTCGACGTCGTCCGCCGTCGTTCGTCGTCGCCATTGCCGCCGCCACCGCCGCCGCCACCGCCGCCGTCGCCGCCGCCTGCTGCTCTACTGCCGTCGTCATCGTCGCACACGCAGTACGTCGTCGTTATTGCTCTCGCAATCGTCGTCCAGTCGCGCGTGGTTTTTAACAGCGGTTCTATTAAAGGGAAAGCGCGAGCTAATATATCTACACATACATAAAACGGAGCCTCTGCGATCGAGCAAAAGCTGATTATGAGTTGGAACAGTGCAGCGATACAGAAAGCATTCGGGCCAGCGATTGTAAAGTGAGAACAAGTTTTATCGTGGTTTTGTGTGTTTGCGATCCGGCCGAATCGACCGGAACTCTGAAGTGAGCCGTAAAGGGAAACGTATTTTCACCGTTTTTTCGGTGAGAAACGGAGCAAGTGCAGAGTCGGAAGGAACGGAGCTCGTATGTCACACGTTGAAAGGACTAGCCGTGTCATCGTCGGAATAAGTGCTGACAATATATTATCTATTTTGGTGTGTTGTTCGTTACCACAGTGAAGGAGTCGCAAGCTCCGAAGAAACCAGTGAAGGCTCACCGACCGCCTTACCTGTCACGGTGACCGACATCACGGCGAGATCGCGGCTGATACCTCCGCGTGTTCCGGCGCAAGGTAGTACAGAACTCTCTATTTTATCAAACATATGTACGTTGTTCGCGTTCATACACACGTAATATATTCGTGGACGCGTGGCTATAGACCAGTAAGTCGTACACGCCATTGCCCGCGCGTTGCTCTATGCATTTAAACGTGTATGTATATCTCTCGGTGACGTCATCGTTTCCGTAATTACATTTTTACGCCGTTACAGAACCGATGACGTCGCTTCTCTTTTCGTTTCTTTACACTATCCACGACCTGTGCCAATTATTTCAGAATTCATTTCCTATCTCATTGCCCGGACTTCTTATTTCGTTTATCGCGTCGCGCGTTTAAAACAGAAATGGCCAACGTTTTCGATGCAACTTTCCTTTAAACATTTATTCGCAACGATCGTTCCATCTAACAGTTATTCGTATAAGCTATGTTGCACGACCAACGCGAAACATTATTGGATTGTATCGTTTAAACTAACGCTTATCCAACGAGTAGCTAGCTATTACATTTAGTACTCGAAATTCTCTATCTAGATGGCGATTTTGTTCATTTCTGAGTTTAAACGTGCTTGCCGCGTACCGTAATACCACTCGACATTGTATAATTTTATATCTCGTATTGCGATTTGGAGTGATCGCGGACTGTTCAATTGCGACGAGACACGTAACCTTTAAGTCGAAGGTGCCGGTGATTATCGAAAATCCTCCTTGTAACGCGCGAGTGTATCGTTGTTTTCTTCGTTGCTATCGTAACGCGAAAAAGAAAAAACGCGCGCAACCAGCTGCGTCGTTCTACCTATTCGAGAAACGGAAAAAGCCTGAATCGATTTCGTGAAATAAGGGGTGTTTTTATTTTGAATTCATTTCCTAGAAACTGAATTTTCGCGTAAATCCGAATATTAACAGGACGACAGTAAAATGGAGCAAGTATAATATATACGAGTCGAATTCGGAACACGATGCGCGCGTTACGTGTGGAAATGCGTGTTCAACGATTAACCACGTGTCATTAAATTCTCTTACCTTCGCGCAGTTGAGGTACGTACGAACGCATGGCGCGGTGACTTTTATTTGCGCAAATGTCTGCTCCGAGTTACGTTTGTTCCAACTGTACACCGACATTTTCGTATCGCTTTCGAAACTATTTCGTAGTTTTCCCTCAGAGTTCAGTTTCTCGCCTGCTCCAAAATCGCGGTGACACGTGTAATTTAATTTCACTTGAAAAATGTTTATCGGCACAGACAAATATTCCTTTACTCCGATTTTATTATATTATCGTATACGACGATAATTTTGTGGCTCGCTGTATAATTCTCGCGACGAATAGGTGAAAGTATGCTGAAAATATACCGTAGACAAGCTGCTCTGTAGTTCGATATGCCTCCGGGGCTCACGGTTGATGATGTGGACGCATCACTTGTGCCGGGCACATTCCTAAAAACAAGATAATGCAATGCGTGAGAAGAGCACTTGTAAAACTCGTTATTTTAAAGAATTTAGCATCCAGCCGTGATAAATATCGTATCTTCCGTTATCCTTTCGCGAACGATAAAACGCCATTTGACCCTTTCCCACGGTTCTCTTTGTCGCAACCAGAGATAGGTAAAGTTTAGAATAAAGGACGACAAGTAGAAATATTATACAGTAATTCTTCCAACGTGAAATATAATTAAAATTCTAGTCTTTGGGTAAGAATTTTGCCCATCTCTGGTCTCCACTCACACCTTCATCTCTCATAATTCCAAACAGATTTTGTATGTTATGGATAAGCATGGACTACCAATCGGGCAGGTGTAGTTCGTAACGATAATAATCTGTCGTCCCTATCCTTTTTATTGGCAATGTTCATTCATAGGGTGGAGTGTTTCTTGACCATAATTCTGAAAGGCGTTATTTCGGTTGTGCAAGCCACCCTCAGGTTTTTCGATCCCTTCGCATTCCTATGCGAGCAGGTATGCGACTTTCTGATCTATGCCTTTAATCTTCTTTACAAGTGTATTACCTTTCCCAGGAGGGTTGCACTTGTAACCTCCAGTTTCCATTTTTTGTTTTCGACTTTTAACGCCTCTGTCTGCAAGGTCGAAACAATTTGTTAACATTGGAAACAATTTACGGACATATGATCGTTGGCGTATAAGGTTTCTTAGGAAGTTGGAATATTCTGTGGTCAGGTTGGAAAGGGAAACACTATTTTATACAATTGCAACATCTTACGTCACCGTAACAGTATATCTCTGGCTCACTATTAACGCGCTATACTTTGGTATTTCTGTAGTTTGCACTTTTTGCTCTAATAAAACGAGTAAACTGTTATTTTGGATCCTGTTCGGTAACGATCTACGAAGCACTATTTAATTCAAATAATTCTAAAGCTATCTATACCGGACTATAATTTCATATATAAAAGAGCGGTTTCACCGCGTAGCAGTGACTATCAATTATTATTTTGCAACTTGCTGATATTCTCGGTTAATTGTAAAAAAGTATTGGCTAGCGCAAAAATTAATTAAGCGCGTGTATGCATCTAATCAGGTCGTGTGTACGTTCTTCCTCGAGTAGACGATCGATGTTTGTGTTGCGAACAAGTCGAACGATAGCATGTGTAAATGTGTCGAGTGCATCCTACGCTTATTGGTGTGGAATCTAGACGCGTCGAATTACAGTACCTTCGTGGGCGTGTCCCACTGACATTCCGACCTCGGTGTCTTTTATCCTATTGAGCCTTGCTATACTACTTTATACCACCGAACCCTTTTTAACGCGGTGGCCTTGTTTCCACTTGTTTACTACGATCACAGGAAGTCACACCTATGCAGCGACGCGTAGGTCGTGTGCATGACTGAGGGTCGCGTGTAGTCGAAATGTCGACGAGTAAACAATTGTAACATTTATGCTGGAGTGCTTTAAATTTCGAGTAATATTGAAAAGAAAGAAATAATCAAAATTGAGAAAATATTAGTTGCGTTACTGTTAACGTGTAGGAAAAATGAAAGTAGAACGATTATTAATAGGGGCTCGGAGTATTTCAAACGTCGTTAGGATTGTGTATCAGTCTTCGCAAGCAATCAAACTAACGTTCTCGACCCTTGGGTTTAGGTACTCTTCGAAGCTCGTAAAGATTACCTCGAGTAACGTCAAAAGTATGATTAAATAATTGCTTTTCTATTGCACTTGTGCCCCTGATGGCTAACTACCACCAATTTATACACGTGGATATTTAAGTTACAGGAATTACCGCATTCAGTTTCTCTGTAATCGTTAAGAATTATCCAATGGCGTCATCGGCGTGATTAAGGCACACACACGCGTAGAGGATACGTACGAGCCAGTGCTTCTCAACCTGAGGGTCGCGAATCAAAAGTGGGACGCGATATTATCGTTAGCTTTTACGAAACAAAATTATTCATAATCCTACTCCGATTTACATCAAATTTAAATATTAATAACTCGGGAATAAAATCTGATTTCTTTAGGATTTTTCGAGCAAAGAATGTATTCTGGTGTTTAGAGGAGAAACGGAGTACGTTTATTAGGTATTCAGGTCAGTACGAATACGTAGGTGTTTCATCAACCCTTTACTGCGCAAAAACGTCTACGTACGATAGAAATTGGCGAGGTTACATATCCAGTTGATAAGATCAGCACGTACTAGCCTAGAATTGTAACGCCGAGGTGCGAACAATGGACAATTTCAGATGTGTTTGTAGTGGGTTGAACGGTGCATTCAAAACATATTTTACTAAGCAGGTATGGGTTGGAGATTTGTCCGTTAAAAAGTTTTTTTAGGAATATTAGATCAGCTACCACTGGTCAGCATGTCGATTCGAGTAAGTCGAGCAGCCCTGGCGTAAAGAAACGTGACGTAACAGAGTCGAAATTATCTCGGTTGAATAGCAGTGTCCCAGACGTTTTAGTTTCCCGCGTGGTGTTTCTGGTAGCGTGCGTTTCCACGTTTTCGTCGCACTTTTACGGCGAAACTATCCTCGAAAATAAAACGCGGGATTCGTGTATAGAGTTACAATCTTTAGCGATTCCCGGCAAAGAAATCCTATTTATATCATTTCGTGTTGGTCGTCTGCCAGCAAAATCACGTTTATATCAAACGCCGTTAATTTACAATCTCGCAAAACATCCGCGGACGAACGCGCGCGCCCCGTTCGGCGAGGATCTACGCGCGTGGATCTCGAGGCCGTAAATCGTTTCACGGATCGTCCGGCCGGTTACACGCGACGCTACCGGGAGATATATGCCCTTCTAATCGCGGTATTTCTGCCTCCGTGTCGTCGCACGGCTCTTCTAGGACAACATAATCGCTGCGATTCCGCGCTCGGTACCTCGAACCTATCGATATCTCATCGATCGATAACTCCGGAGGGTCTCCTACCATCCAGACCTCCTTATTCTTCGTTAGAAGCCGTTTCGTGGCTGGAAATGCTCGCCACTTGTACAGAGATTGCATCCTAACGTGTGAGACTAGGCTTTCCGACCGTCCATTTTTTTTGGAAGGACTAGTCTCGTTCCTTAGCTGCTTCTGTTTTGTTTCTTTTTCCAGAGCTAACCCTCGAGCTAGAAAGATATCGGTCGTGTTGTCCCCTTCGGTGGCAAGTGCGGAAGTGCCGTCACACCGTCGACAGAGTAGAGCTGCGATAAATTATCGAGTATCGAAATTCCTTTAGATTCGCGCGCGTTGAACTTGATATTTCAACCCTACCGAAAGCACAAATGGAGAACGGAACGACGTCGATTGGAGCGTTTCGCAACGATAACGCCGCGAAAGAGAAAGGGAGAGAAAGCTCGAAGCCTTAATGTCGATCCTGTGTCTGTCCCTGAACGTTCCTGGGCATCGTGTATGAGTGTGTAGGCGGGGTGGTGGGTGTGCCTCGTTTTAATTTTAGTCCCGTGACAGGCTGCTCCCGCGAGGGAGAGGGGTAGTAGGTGGCGTTGACCCGCCAACGTAACCTACAAATATTTCCCTCTTTCTCCTGTGGTCTTTCAGCTTTAGCTCTTTCTCCGTCC